GGGGGGGGGGGGGGGGGGGGGGGGGGGGGGGGGGGGGGGGGGGCCCGAGGGGAAAGGGAGAGGCGGGGACAAAGGAAAAGGACTTCAGGTACCGAGGGGGAAAAGGATGCACACGGCAGGGGAACAAAAGGAGAAAAGGCATTGAAACTGGAGAGAGGGGGTGGAAGAGTCTGAATAATGAGTAGAGAGCTTCCCATTCAAACGACATGCATTAGAAAGCCGGTGGGGGTGAAATTAACCTCGAGTACGAAGCAAGGGCAAGGGCGCAAGCTCGGACAAAACAGACACAGAGGGACACACACAACGACACAGACACAGAGAGAGAGAGAGAGAGAGAGAGAGAGAGAGAGAGAGAGAGAGAGAGAGAGAGAGAGAGAGAGAGAGAGATGTGGATGCGAATATATCTGAGAGAGAGAGAAAGAGAGAAAGCGAGGCAGAAAGAACCGCAGAAACAGCGGGAGAAGGGTGAATGACAGAGCAGGCAGCTGTGATTACCTACCGTGGCAAGTCTGGCGCTGGCCTTGTTGAGAGGCTGATGACGTCAACCGTCTCCAGTTCAGCCCGTACTCGTAAAGGCTGGCTGTCACCGCGCGGCAGGCTGTGCTCATTCCGCTTCCCGCCTTTTTGTCGAGTTGCCATCTCGCTGGCCGTCGATCTATCTTCGCTAATTAGATCCCCATCGCATTTGCCCCCCATCGAGCACGCTCCGTTCTCATGCACGCCCTTACCCTCCGCCTTTGATTGGCCAGAAGGAGTGCTGATGTGGACCCCCCCATTACCGCGGTCGCGCACAGACATCCACAGAATACTTAGACACAGACAGAGGCTCGCCCAAATACACAGGCAAACTGATGTGGACCCCCCCATTACCGCGGTCGCGCACAGACATCCACAGAATACTTAGACACAGACAGAGGCTCGCCCAAATACACAGGCAAACCCCCGCACGACACCTCATGATCATCAACCCCTGCTGCAATGCACCAACGTGCTGCCCGTCGTAATCGTAAAATTAAAATTAGGGTTTGTACACTCGTGAGCAAGGATTTCATTCGGAAACATGAGCCTTGTTGCAATGACACGTGCTTCTCACAGTAGCGCCACGTATCATAATCGAAGCGCAAAGCTGAATGATCGGCTTGCAGAAACTCTGCGGTCACACTCGAGCATCCACGTGTCATGATCGAGCTCTTCCGTGACAGATGGTTGTCCACGTGTCATGATTCACGTTTGCAGTAAACTTGCATACTCCTTTTCCTTCTCACCCTCTCTCTCTCTCTCTCTCTCTCTCTCTCTCTCTCTCTCTCTCTCTCTCTCTCTCTCTCTCTCTCTCTCTCTCTNCTCTCTCTCTCTCTCTCTCTCTCTCTCTCTCTCTCTCTCTCTCTCTCTCTCTCTCTCTCTCTGTGTGTGTGTGTGTGTGTGTGTGTGTCTCTGTGCAGGCTTCACAATCAGCATAGTCTGGAAGGCCTTTCCTTTGGAACTTCATTCATTCACACGAATTGTTTTGCCCCGTCGACATGACATGAGGTCGTTTGTCGTAGCCCGCCCAAGCAGTAAAATAGCCTTTTAGCTGCATACAAACAAGCAAAGCGCACACATCAAGGAGGAGAAACGAGACACAGAGAGCGAGAGAGAGAGAGAGAGAGAGAGAGAGAGAGAGAGAGAGAGAGAAGGAGAGAGAGAGAGAGAGAGAGAGAGAAGGAGAGCGACGAAGGGAGAGGGGAGAGTGGCACGCGATTGCGGCGTAAGAGGGAGCCAATACAAACTTGCTTCGCATTCTAAATCGCATAATTATAAATACATAAAATATACTAAGTGTAAAAGAATATAGTAAATGAAGTAATGGCAAGTCAGGGAATAATTTATTAATAAGAAAAATGTATAAATAAGATAATAGTAACGAATAACACACTACTCTTTGCCGATCACGGAATAAAACAAACATTATAACATATTCATTTTTCATATATAAATACATTTACATACAGTATATATATGTTCCTGCGCGCGTGCAAGAGTGCCAACCTTTGCTATCTTTCGGTCTCTCTGTTCCAGATTCGATTCTTTTTCTGTCCCTTTTTTCTATCCTTGCGTCTGTTCGGGTTCGCCTATTCCTATCTTATTATCAAGTATAAAACGTTTTTTGAAGAAGGTTGGCCCCTAGAGGGTGACGGCATGCCTAAACCCTAAAACCCAACACCAGAGGGCCCATCTACCTTAAAACCCTAAACCCTGAACCAAGACCTTGAATAATTCTTCTTTTTTAACCCTTAAACCCTAAAGCCTAACCCATTGCTCTCTCTCTTTCTCTCTCTCTCTCTCTCTCTCTCTCTCTCTCTCTCTCTCTCTCTCTCTCTCTCTCTCTCTCTCTCTCTCTAGCGAGCGCGCGCGCCTGCATGCTCTGCGCCTATGCAGGGCTAGTAGAAGCATTTTGAGATTTCATCTCCACATATTTTACCATCTCACGCAGTGCGCATCACCTACAGTAAGTAGGATCGTGATACATAGTACATTGACTCCGCATGGTATCTAGACTGAGAGTTGGCCCAAATACATACAGCTGTAATGACAGTACGTTCTATCCGGGGAAGACGGTAAACCAAGCACCTGTTATGCATCTGACTTTAACAAGCTAGTAATGATGAAAAAAAGGATGAAATGCGTACATCAGAGAGAGCGTGCGTACATGTGAGGGAGAGACAACGAGAGCGAAAGAGACAGAGATGGCTCGGACCGTAAAGAGATCATTAACCTTTGCCGACATTGCAAATGTACATTCTACTGGAACAGCAAGAGAGACATCAAAAGGCAGAGTCAAGATAGAAAGGGGGATGGCAGAGAGGGTGCGGGGGAAGGAGGGGACTAAAGAGAGAGCGCAACATGGGGGGCGCGCGAGAGAGAAAGACAGAGAGAGACACAGAGAGAGAGAGAGAGAGAGAGAGAGAGAGAGAGAGAGAGAGAGAGCTGGAGTAAAGGGGGAAGAGAATGCTTGTCAGCTCACGAGAAATTCAATGTACGGATAGACTTTGCTACTTGCATGGATTTGCATGACGTGGCAAGGCGTCTGTCTCACCTGAAGGCTCGAGAGAAAGTTTCCACGACAGTGAAAAGACGCGATTGGCCCGTTGTGGGGTCACGTGGTTCCAGGATCGCCCCTATCAGAACGGGGAAACGGATGTCTGCGCGTCCCGGCAAATTCGGAAATGGACAATTGTGGTACTAATGCTTGGACTGAACACCCGAATCTGGACGTCTTTGTGGCGCGGTGCAGAAAAATGGGATTGAATTGGTTTCCTGCATCTCTGCGTAAAAGACGTCCAGATTCAGGGTCTCAATCCAATCCTCCTTGCTAGTGGGATATCGCCCTACGTGTCGTATAGGGATTGCCACGAATTATTGTATCCATTTGATTTCACGGCGAGGATTCTGACTCGTGGCCTGTTTATAAACAGATGTATGCGTGCACCATTCTTTCAGTAACGTGGGTTGGGTATTCCCGCCATTCATTCAGCAACGTGGGTTGGGTATTCCCGCCATTCATTCAGCAACGTGGATTGGGTATTCCCGCCCTTTCCCTTGTGCGGCAGGTCATCAGATTCCCCGATCATCAGAACTCAAACAAGATAGTCCCTGAGTGAGAATGAACGTTACCGTACGAATGAAGAAATAAAGTTTAGGTTTGTGTGGCTTTTCGGGCTGGGTAGATACGTTTGGTTAATTTTGGCTCAGAGAGGGGACTGCAGGGCAAGGTCCGCAGGGACCGTCTTGCCCTAGTTAAGGACTCCCCATCTGAAGCATAAGCTAAGCTGACTGATGCTGTCAGACCACTTTCTTTCCGGGTCGAATTGTGGGGTCCCCGGCCCCGAATTGAGTTTCATGAAATAAAGGGATACGGTTGTTATAAAAAAAAAAAAAAAAAAAAAAAAGTTCTGGTTATAAGGGTCTCCGCGGCCAGATTTATATGTATATATGGAGTGGCGCCGTCCGTGGTACATAGGAGTGCGGACCCGGCCGCGTTCAAGGGTGCAAAAAACAAAAAACAAAAAACAGAAAAGAGGGCGTGGAAAAGTTTTCAAAAATTCGAATTAACGGGAGGACTCCCGGGACCACCATGGATGACATAAAAAGGTTGGGCCGTTGTCGCCGCGTTTTGCCTTCCTATCTCGCAAATTCCGAATTGCGAGAGTGGCATGTGAAGTATTCCAAAGAGACGAAGACAGGCGCGCGAAGTGAAAGTGGTGCACGGGTGCAAGGTTGCCGATGGAGGTGGAGGTTGGTGGCAGCCACCATGTCTTGTCTCCTGAAGAGTATGTCGCGGTGGCACTGGCGTTGACGGCCATCATTCACAACTCTGAAAGGGAGAGGCCGCGTCCACACAGTATGGAATGCGTCTGCAGCTGCGCGAACACAGGGCATTGTTGCAGCGTGTGGTTGCCGCACCTGATTGCGCGGAGACATCCGAAGCCCTCGTGCACCTGTGTGCGGTGCTATCCTCCCACATTGTCCTGTGTCAGACGCCACGATGGTGGATCAAGCGAAGGACCAGTGGAACATGGGCGGATCTTCTTGTATGTGACGACGCAATAGACGGGGACTTCGCATGTCCTGGGTAGTGTTCATGCAGATCGTCACCGCACGCTCCCCTATCTGGAGAAGAAGGACGCATTAGAGGCTGCCCTTGCCTGTAGAGCAGGTGGTGGTGTTTGTGTTTTATAGGCGGGCATCGGGGAGACATACATGTGACGAACCACTTCCTGAACCCGTGCTATCTTTCGTACCATTTTTTTGCTTGTATCATACCAACCCCATAAAAACCCCGTTTCGTTTTCTTGATTTTGGGTACCGTGTTCTTGGCTCCCATCTTTCGGAAGCTTTTTCGACTCCCGGGTTCTGCTTTTCCTTTCTGCAATTCGGGAAATACATAGGAAATTACGTGCGCCTTAGCGAGCGCACTGGGAATTGGGCTCGGCAGTTGGGAATTCCGGGATAAGCGGAACTTCGACGTGTCCTTTTCGTGTGTGTGAATGATCTTGGTCGCGTCGGGGAAAACTCTCGGAATTTTGTACGAATACGAACAGGCGTAGGATTTTTCTTTTCCCGCGTCGCTCTTTCGCGCGCGGATATGGTGATTTCAATTTTGAATTAGGATAGAAGTAAGCTGTAACTGTTTCGGTGCCTTTTTCTCTCTTTTTGTTGACGGCGCCGCGCACGCAAAAGCTCTTTCCTCTCTGCCTCCCCCCCGCATCGCTCCTTCCCGCGCTCCCTTCCCCTTCTCCCTCCTCTTTCTCTCTCCCCGTAACTGTTTTCTTCCTCTCTCTCTTTCTCCCGCTCCGCTCTTTGCGCGCCCATTTCCCTTTTTTGATCATCTGAATCTTGGACCCGTCTTGCGCTACTTCTCACGCCTTTTCTCTTCTCACCCTCTGAGTCCAACGCACGACGCCCGGTCGATCCGTCGATAACTCCCGTTCGCCAATCAGGTGCGTGGATCAATAGGATCTTCCTATTGCGCAACGAATCTGATTGGTTGAACCTTGAGTTCCGAGGGATCAACATGGCGTTCACAGAGCACTCTTCTCAAAGTCTTCTTCTCCTACTTCTCCTCTTACACCTCAGCTTTCCCGTCGCTTTCTCCCCCTTCTGTCTCCCTTGTCGCAACTATAAAACCCGCAAGCGCGCCCGCAAATCTCTCTTACGTTCTCGACTCGTAAGCCAGCTTCCAGGAAGCATAGGCAGAGTGTTTTGATGCGAGTCGGAAAGTCCTGTCGGGTTGACGATAGGCTGGCCGGTTGCGCGCTGGATCGCCACGACGGACTGTGGGATCTGGGCGAACCGTGTCGAGTTTACGACAGCGGGGTGACGATCGCAGTGGTGGGAATTAGCACGCGGCGGCCGGGACCGTCGGTGCGGGTATGAGGATCGATGATTGGAGTTGAGTGAGTGATTGGCYCAGGGCCATATWGGAATTAACGGCGAATGTGCCCTTGTTGTTGCGGATTTTTATCTCTGGCGTGAGTGTACGGCGGCTACGCCGATCGCCCCTCTTTCAGATCYYSCCYCCCCCCCCCCYMYCYCAACTCTCCTTCCTCACCTCCCCCTCTCCTCTCTGTCTTTGAATAATGATGTGTCTCGATGCTTCTCTCTTTCTCTCTTTTGGATGAGCATGAATCTGTGTGCTTTCTTTGCGTAAAAGAACTTCTTCTGGAACTCTTCCATTAGTTTCCTGGGTAATCCTCCTACCCAAGGACCCCGTCTTCTTGTCTTGTGAACGGTGGATGCGTGTGTATTGTGCAAGTAATCCATCTTTTCTTGTGCATGGCTCATTTTTCGCACCTTCCACAGTGGATGCATGTATGGAGATGTGTGACCCCCTTTTTTTGCGTTGATTAGACGATTATCGTCGGGATTTTGTTCGAGAATGCAAGAGTGTTTAGATCTGTAGCTCCGAATGTACTGCGCATGCCATCTGCCTTATGCTGCACGACATCAGCAGCCGAGCCGCGGGGCGACACTCGAGAAACAAGGCGCCTGGGATCAACGTCGCGTTGGCTCACTAAACCTGAGCCGCGGATCGACCCTTTAGTTACCTACATGATCAGGCTGATGAGTGCTTTCTCTCTCTCTCTTGTGAAGAAAAGGATTGATTGGAGGTTGCGTGAGTGTTTTCTGTTCTTGATGACGTCGTAAGGACTTTGCAATTGATCGATATGTGGACTGACAAGTACCCTCCGATCGGGCACCAGCCTCCCATATCTCCCGTTCCAACACGACCTTTTCCTTACAACGAGGGAAGGACACGTGTATGCGAGTGGGACATACGAGAAGCCGTTGCACAAATCGGCGGGCGATAGTACTTCCCTCCGGCAAATCGTTGTTCAGGGTTCGTGGAGGCTGGGTTTGTCATTATCGATACGCACTTCCCACCTTACTCGATATTGTTGCCATTCAACGAGTTGATCGTCATCCCGTGGACGGCAGTAGAACCCCACTGGCCGCTCATTCTATGCACCGAATGTCAGCGTTTTGAGCGCTACGAATCCAGGGGTTTCCACTACCATGTGCGGAGTGAAGACGAGCATAAAGATAGAGCCACACGGCTGAGACCATCCACGTCAGACTCGGAAGTGCCCAGCTAGCGACGACGAGATTTGATACGTAAACGAGACACGCGAAGCGTGCCGAAGCCTTTCCGTTTTAAACGACGGGCTGTAGCCCGGTGGGAAGCCCGACAATACTTTTTGGATTGAATTTGGATTTTTCTCTTTTCGCGCCGTACCCTCGCGCGCATTCCACGACGCGCGAAAACAATCGACTTGCTTCATCGGACCAACACGGGGGATTTCAGTTCCATCTGTGTCCCCACACTCAATTTTCAAAAATCCTTGGCACACCCCATCTTGTTGTTTTTCTGGGCCTCTTTTCGCACGCCTAACACTCCGAACGAAAGACAGCATAGGGCGTGAGGTTGCGCGTCATATACAGGAGTGGGACATCATCTTCGGCATCGACAAGGCTTCTGGTTTGATCACCGTCCGTGACATGACATCTGCATTGCTGAAGGCGTACCCTGATACAATTGTGTGGCCGACTAGATGGGGACGTGCGCAAGTGTTGCACGCCTTCCGGGAGAAGGGCTTTCCAAACTGCTATGGTGCAAGCGACTGCACGCATATTTACATCGACAAGCTTGCAAACACGCCATCAGAGAACTGTTATCACTGCAAACAGAAGTTTTCAGTTCAAGCTCTTGTGGTCGTGGTTTGGACTTGCATATCCTAGGTATTCAAGTCGAATATCCGGGCAGTGTGCACGACATCCGTATCTTGCATAACTCACATTTGTGGAGGCGTGCAGAAAGCGGGAAGTCATTCGACGGACCACCGGAGAATCTTCCACATGATGGCATTGTGATAAGAGGGTACCTTCTCGGCGACAACGACTACCACATCGCATGTTTGTGGATCGTCCAGCCGTACGGAGGAATAGACCAGCCTCTTCATGACGAGCGTTTCGACACGAAGCGGAAGGTGACGTGTGATTGTGTGGAGAGAGCATTTGGGCATTTGGCTTACGTTTTTACACACCCACAAGATAAGCCTTGAGATGCAGTGAGGGGGGACTGCAAAAGTAGTTTGAATTTCGACCGTTG